ATTTTCTAGGATGTAGAACATTCACTGTTTATACTGATCATAAACTTTTAACACATATACTAAATTCTAAATCAGACAGATCATCTCGACAAATTCGACACTTAGAGTACATTGCACAATTTACAGACGACATACAATATATTTCTGGAAAAGAAAACATAGTTGCTGATACGTATTCCAGATGTTTACATGATTTTAGCCCAAGACATAAATTTTCAAACATTATTCGAGGAACAAAAAGATCAAACACTTTATGACATAATATCTGACCAAAATTCCAACAGTAATTTAAAAGAACCTTTTAGACCATTAGTTCCCAATTCTATGAGAAAAATCATTTTTGATAAAATTCATTCTTTATCACATCCAAGTGTACGTACAACTAGGCGTTTATTCAATCAAAATATTTTTGGCCTAATATGCGCAAAGAGATAAATAATTGGACTTCTACTTGTATAAGTTGTCAAAAATTAAAAATTTCTAAACATACTAAGACGCCGTTGCAAAAAATTAACATATTCATATGGATATTGTTGGTCCATTACCTGTGTCAAAAGAAAGTCGTTACATTTTAAATATCATTGATAGACATACACGTTGGCCAGAGGCATATCCACTTAGAGATTTTGGCATTCCACTTTATATAACAATAGATCAAGGATCACAGTTTATATCAAAATTGTTCAGAGAATTAACTAAATTGTTAGGATCACACAAAATTCATACGTCCCCATATCATCCTCAATCAAATGGAATGATTAAAATATTTAATAGAACATTAAAGACTGCTATTACTGCTTCAGATGATTCTACCCACTGGTCTGAAATTCTTCCTTGGATATTATTAGGACTACGTACGTCTATTAAAGAGTATTTAAAATGCTCTTCTGCAGAATTAGTTTATGGACAAACATTAAGATTACCAGGTGAATTAGTTGTTACGAAAAGTTATAATAATGAAGTTAATAATACAGACGAAACTCTTTCTAAGCCAAGAAAATATTTTTCAAATGTTAGATCAAACAATAAAGAATACTCTTTTGTTCCGAAAAATTTGGATACTTGTGAGTACGGTTTTGTTAAAGTTATTCACAAGTCAAATTTGCAATCACCTTATGAAGGACCATTTAAAATTATTTCGAAAAATGACAAAGTATTCAAAATTCCACATGGAAATATGATTAAAACGGTTTCAATAGATTTGCTCAAACCTGCAAATATAATTTCTGATACAACAAAAAAATCTAATTCACTAACAATTCCAAGTACAAAAAGGAAAATAACATTTAACATTAATTAATTTATTGTTTTACTGGAGGGCGAGTATATATAGGGTATTTTACCTATATGTTTTTATACTTGTTTAAATTCTTTATGTTCAATTTATGGTTCAATGAATTTGTTTGTTATCAAAAAGAAAATTTTTGATTATTCAATAATAAACTTTCAAACAAGAAGGAAATACTATTTTTTAATTTGATACCATAACACGATATAGAGAATATTACTTAGTGAGGGTTATAACACGTAAGCGCGGCCTATCCAAAAAAAGGTTTTGCGCAAAAATGCTGTGGATAGCGTAGCTGGCATTGGTCCGACCAGGGTTATTTTTTGAAATACTCCTATTTTCGAGGATTAAACACAACATGTTGTATATCAATCGAAAGCTTGAGGTGTGCACTATTTATTATAAGATTTTTAACTGTAATTAATAGGCACTTTTTAAAGAAAATTGTGTTTGTTTAAAATTGTTTGTAATTTTTTTACATAAATTGGATTTTTGCTAAAACTTAAGAAGTTATATGTGTAGGGTATTTTACCTGTATGTTTTTTATACTTGTTTAAATTCTTGATGTTCAATTTATGGTTCAATGAATTTGTTTGTTATCAAAAAGAAAATTTTTGATTATTAAATAATAAACGTTCAACATATAAAAACTTAAAATTTAAACCAAATATATTTACTTATTAAAATATCATATAATTGATATTATCAAAAAGAAAGTTTTGATTATTCAATAATAAACTTTCAACATATGAAGCTTAAAATTTAAACCAAATATATTTACTTATTAAAATATCATTTATATATGTAATTAAAGTCACTCACATTTTCTATTTAATTACATCAAAATGTTTAGAATCCGTGCGATGGGTTTCGAGATATATGAATTTGAAAAAAGCGCTGCATTTGACCTTTGACTTTTCGTAACTACCTTAGGCACTCGGCACATTACGCGCCTAATCAAAGTAGAGTAATCGTTTCATCATACCGAAACGAATGCATGACGACTCGACTTCTGTACACTTGCACGACCTGCATAAGTCACCAGCTAATAAACACTTTCTACACATAACAAATTTTTTGGCCGTTCTTTCGCAACACGCACTTCCGCAAATATTTCTGCTCCGAAATATTGCATAAACGCTTGTGGTTTAATGCAATTTGCACGAAATCGTTCATTTCCAATTATTTTCTTATGAATTGACAAATAAATTTTATTTCAAACCCAAAAAATAAACAAATGACGATTTCAAAACTGCAAGCGCCTTACAATGAATCGTAATATACAGAGCTTCATTGAAATACATGTGTTGGGTATAAAAGCTTCATACTTTAGTACGCCGGAACGATTACACTACTATGACTAGGCGTTTCACGATTGAGAGAATACAAAGGTTGCGCCCATCTCGGACCGCTATTCCTCTCTTAACGAATTTGACAGAATCGTTGTTTGCATGACGTCACACTGGTGCAACTTGTTTACGTTTTCCTTGCAACATTTTTTCTTCTTCTTCCATTCTTGCTCACGTTTTGGCATTTCTCTCTCGCAATTGCACCAGTGTGACGTCACACAAAAGTTATTCTCAAAAATCCTCTCTGATCGGCGCAATCTTGTATTCTATCATTCTTGTAGGCGTTTAATGTGCGGAGTGCCTTAGTTGTTGCTTCTGCCTCAGAAAAATTATACCGTTATATTTTTCTCAAAAACCTCTATCGAACTAAATTTTTTGTTGTAATTTTTCCATTGTTCGGATTCTTAACTTGGGTTGGCTTTCCAAAACGGAACCAATCGAGATTTCAGCGAAAGTATATGGAATTTAGTCATGAAACTTGGTCAGGACGTTGGGGGAGGCTTTCTCTGCATGAATATATCACTCTCACAAAGTAGTTGCTAATAGTATTTAAGCAATTTGTTGTTAAATAATCTTCACTACCACCCCCAAATTTTTGTCCAAAATGCCACTTATCAATTGTATTTTGGTTGATATACAATATCTTCATTATTCACGTGCGTATTTTATACTTTTAATAAATATATATTCATCAATTAATTAAGTAAAACGCGTTTATAAATCCGTTAACTCGTTTTACCACTTTTCACAAACAAACAGAAATAACAATGGCCGACAGTAAGAGCAAATGTGTGCTGCCATACTTCTCGAAGCTATAAAATACAACTATAAACCATATCATTTTCGTTTTTGATTTATTATAAAATCGATACTTCGATAAATAATAAAAATTTTTATAAAAAATCGGCTGCGGCGCTTTTTATTATAAAATCAAAACTTCGATAAATAATGAAAATTTTTAATTAAAATTCGCGCGATTTTTTAAGAAAAATTTTAAACCGCGGCGCTTTTTATTATAAAATCGATAATTCAATAAATAATGAAAACTTTTAATAAAAAATCGCGCGGTTTTTAATTAAAAATTTTCGCCTGCGGCGCTTTTTATTATAATCTCGATACTTGATAAATAATGAAAATTTTTAATTAAAATTCGCGCGATTTTTTATGAAAAGTTTTTGACCGCGGCGCTTTTTGTTATAAAATTGATACTTCGGTAAATTATGAATCGCGCGATTTTAAATTAAAAATTTTCGCGAGTTTCATTTTCCCCGAACCGGTTCACTTTTCACTCTTGGTTTCCATGGTTTTACTATGGGCGGATGACGAATTTTCGGGTGAATTTTTTTTTAGGCGAAACTCAGGATAAGGCAGATTGTTTCCGTTTTGTGTTTTTTTTGGCATTTTCTACCAATACAGCACCGACATTTCAGTTCAGTTGGTGTACAAGGGCAAAAGTGAGGTTGAATTCGGTATTTTTTGCAACTTTAAATGCGAATTACTTAAAAACTATAAGCCTCCGGAGGGCGGGGTCTTCAGATCTGAAAAAGCTCCTCTATACTCTCTAATATTTTGTTTTTTCCAAAGCGTGGATCCGTTTTGGAGACTTTTCCCCTTAACTTGTTTCTATTTAAATAAAACATGTGAAATTTGATTAAAACAGTTGTGGTTTTTAGTCGGTTAATTTTTGCCAATTTAGCCGGTTGGTCCAAAAGCTTCTGGCAACACTGTTCCTATAACACAAGCAATCAACATAACCTCACATCATGATTCAATAATACAAGGTTAGATAATTATTGACAGCTGCGGTTTGACACTCCCTTACAAAAGGTTGCATTTACGAAGGACAGAGAAAGGGCAAGAATACAATCCCTTGTTTCGAAAATGGTAGTAGAAAAGTACGCAAAGTAGGCAATTAGTAGTGAAATTCCTTTCGTAAATTCTAATGTATTTGCAGGAAATCTGGAATTTTAAACGAAATGTTGAACGTAATATTGATATATCTACGTGAATTACGTAATTTATATGCTATTTAGCTGTATAAAAACTGCAAAATGACTCAAAATTAAAATAAGACTACTATGAGATTGATGTAAACGTCCAATGCTTATGTTTTCATCAGTTAAATATGCTTCATATGCATATACAAATAAACATATTGCACAGAAGCTTTACTTTTATTTCACCCAAAGCTACACTGTTTCCATGTAAACTTGCAAAGAAGCAACACGGTGCCACTGCTAAGGGAGCGGTGCGAGAGAGACAACTGTCAGTTTATCGAACCTTGTATTATTGAATCATGACCTCACATAAGCACACGTTCATTGTTAAACAATAAATGACATTTGTTGTTTTCCCACCCACAGGCAAGGACGTGTCAATCAGCAGCAACTTCAACAAAACCTGGGTCAAAATCTAAGCAGCAGCAAGACAGTATACCACTGCGGCACTTATATTACGAATAGCAATAGCAGCCATAACCAAAATAATCAGCAAATGCAGAATAATTGTGTTTCGACTTCACCGCTCACTCATCACACCTACTGGCAGTCATCGTCAGTACCAGTAGTACCAGCCGCGCCAACTGCCACTGCATCGGTGACAACAAATTCAAGTCATCAGCAACCGCAATATATTAAACATGCTCGATCATCGCCACGTCCGTCCCAGTCGACCGCTCCATATCCATCGCCAACGTACCATCACAATTATAGCAGTAGCCCGAATACGTGCATAAGCAGCAATGGCAACGGCAGTACCACTAGCAACACATGCAGCAATCAAAGCAATTCCATCATACCCAATAACAGTGCCAACAATATGCTCCAGCAACTGTCTCAACAAAATGTCACGGTGACGGCGCATAACAGTGCCCATCACAACCAGCAGCAAGAACATCAACAAGTACCGGCAGTAACTATCACGCCAAATTATCCAAGCCATCAGCAGCAACAACAGCAATCGCAACTGCAGCACATTCATGGTCATCAGCAAACGACGCATTCAAACACTGCCGGCGCTATAGTGACACTCCCCACCACACATATAAACCACCTACCGCAACAGCAACAACAGGCATCTCATCACCATCAACAGCAGCATGCACAACATGTAGCAGTTGCCACAACAACTAAGCACTCACCGAACTCACCAAATAGACGCACTCGAGGCGAGAACAAGAAGTGCCGCAAAGTATATGGTATGCATCGTCGTGATCAATGGTGCACTCAGTGTAGGTGGAAGAAAGCTTGTAGTCGATTCGGTGACTGAAAAAGGCCCAAAGCGTCGGCGACCACGGAAACGGCGGCGACGGCGACAGCGACAGCGACAGCGGTAGCAGCGAAAATTACTTCAACAGCAACGACAGAGCTAGCAGCGGGAGCTAAATTAAAGTCTCTAGCAATAGATTTGGGAAGCACAGAAACACAGGTAGCGTCAACCTATTTCAATACAAAGTACAAGCGAACATGCTGCAACTATAATCTTGGCCATAATTCCACCAGAAATACTATTAATAAATACAAGTGTTCGGCAGCTTCTGTACCAGCAACTGCCGTAGCCACCTCCGTTGTTGTGAAGCCACTAAATAATTTAAGTAAAATCTCTGCTAGCAAGAACTATCAAAACACTGCCAGTGGCAGCAAAATTATCCATGCGCCGTTGAGTGGCAACCATAAATATGGTGCAAACACGGATGCTGATGTACACTTGCAACTGCAACAACAAACACAGGTTGTTACAACTGCCAATAACAGCAACATCAATATCAACAATCATTTGCTACCCGCTACAGTCTCAAGCGCTGAACCGGATGTGCGTATGCGAACGTCGCTGCCAATACAACTCTTTCCTTAAGTACCCACACCACCACAAACACTACAAAACATAACATCCTTGCTGCCCTCAAAGTCGAGTACGAGAACGACGATATGACAGCCGTGAAAATCACGACAACAAAGAACATTTTTATTATGAACGCAAAATCGGCTATGTTCTTTAACATTTGTTGTACATTTTATCAACATTTTTTTATTTATTTAAGAAATGACTTACAATATTTGGCTTTTTTGTTATTGTTTATTTTTTGTTGCCTTTACTTATTTTAATAATAATTCAATTTATTCGCCTCAAACGGCAATTTTACACTATAGTTTAATTTTATGGAATTAGAAAAATTTTTCTTTACTATTATACTTACATATGTATAATGTACATATAAATATCTATACATACATACATTACATATGTAGTATACATATAAAAACTATATACATAAAATACATACGTATAGTATTAAGAATTTCAATCTTGCGCGGCTACCATTATCCATCTATAAGCGTTAACAGACAAAATCCATTCAGGACACAGTTGAATAAAATAAAATAACGATCTAAAGCTACAATAACATCAAATAGTATACATACAATTTAAATATATGTAAACGTAAATAATTTTAATGTTTCAAGCAAGTTTGGATCTGTTAAATATACATATTAAAAATAGACAATGTTAATAGATAAACTAAACCAATAAATATGTGTGTATGTTGCATAAGTTCATAGATAGATATTTAAGTATTACTTGTATTAATCATGATAATCATAAAAACGGCAATGTTTAAGTTCAGTTAAATAGAAAAATGTTAAAACAACAGAAAGGAAAGAAATTAAACGAGAAAACAACCCAATCCAAACTTTTGGTTGGAAATAAAACTTAAAAGAGGTTGGAAATAAGTAACTTTATGTCTGCATGCACACAAATTAATATAACAATAAACACCATCAAGTGGCATCTAAACACACGTGCTTCACTTGCAAACTTTTGAAAAGAAGGCTCCCCTTTTAAAATAAAAGTGTTGGCATATATGTAAGTGGATTTTCGTTCATCACACTTGTATATACTACATACATACATACTTAAAATATCAGCATACTAGAATATGCCTATACGTACATAACATAGTTGATATTTGCCATTTTTTAAGAGTACCTAAAATGGAATGAATATTGTACCTTTTTCAACAAAAAAGTATCTTTACATTTGTATGTACTATTCTATTTCACTAAAATCGTTAATGAGATCTTATATAAGTTTATTAGCACATATGGGTTTGCGTATAACAAATACGTTTATATTAAATTTACATGCATATACAATAATTTTTGTAAGGAAAATGGTTCAAACAAGAAACACATCCTCATCGATTGAATTATACGCTAAATTATAATTATGTATGTGTTTAAAAAAGATAAATTAAATGTGTTAAATTTTTACAGAGTACGAATTTCTTTGTCTAATGTGACATCAGAAGACAAACGGCTGACGTGCTTTATTGAAAAATGCGCCATTTTAATTAGTATTGTATTGACATGTTGGTGAGCAATCTGCATTCGAAAAAGTGAAGGAGTGTTTTGGACAGGATTTTTACAGCTATTTTTTTTGTATTTTAAAGCAACTCCAATCTAGTTTCCAATGCTCATTCACAATCAGAGCACTTATTTTTTGTAATTTTTTTACTTCAAAATGATTTGTGCATTTTACTTGCATAGCGATTTTCACAATATTCTATGGCCAATAAGAAGATACATGGCTAATGGTTATACCTTAAGTACGAAAATAGAGTCTAAAGTACCATCAAGCTTAAAAAGGACCGGAAGGGTACAATTGTACCTAAATATCAACTATGATACATATTCAAAGTATGTACGTATGTATATAAAAACATAAATTGAGCTGATAATAAGTATTAAATACATATGTATTATATTTCTGTGAAATTCCGGTGGATTTAATAGCTGGCTTCGGCCAAAATATCATGATATTAAGTTTTTGGTGTCCATCACTACCCTCTATTTTACATTAAACTACATTTCAACATATGCTTTTACATACATACATACATACATACGTAGGGTTATGTATAAAAATGCTAACTCCATTTTAGAAAGTTTGTAGCATTGATAAAAAACTCGAAGAGCTCTTTCCTAAGAAATTGAGTGGAGTTGTCATTTTTATACATATACACACATACATATGTACATACATACTTATTTAAGTGATATCGAAAACCTACTTATGTGATCAACATATAAGCCGTTTATGTTGAAATTGACATAAGTTACCAACACTTCCCTGCAAAAATCGCGACTACTCCATGCATGCATATAAAGAGTACTCCTGAAGGACCAAGGAGTACTCCAAAATTAACCACAACTCATAAAAAATATGGTCCAATTAACATTGCGATGTCCTAGGGCAGGACCATATACTCCATCTCTGCATCACATCAGAGTAGCACAAAACTACTCCAACATACTCCAATGACATTTTTGTTATATTTTTTCGTTTGTACACGCTTTTGTCTTTCACTTCACAGATGCTTTTTTTTTGAAATTAATAAAACCAAAAACAAAAATTAAAAATTACATGTTGCCTCTGACGACATTCGAACCCGAAAATGCTGGGAGCTAAGAACTAACAGCGAGCATCTCTACATGTTCAGCTACAGCCAGACATGCAAATGTGCTTTCAAATGCTCAACTTCAATCACATTTCGTTAAAACACGAGCAGTGATCGGGTAACTATAAGCTGGTGCCGAGACACGAGTTGGTCCGCTACAGCATGACAGAGGAACACTTTTGTAAGTACTCCAATATACCACAAATAGACTACATGGTCCAACGATTTTTGCAGGGTTCTTGTGCTAAAGTGACCGGTTACATGAAGCTCAACGCTTCGGTTATTCGTTGAGCTTCACCAACGAAAGGTAAAAGGTTGTGTCATTGGCTTTGTTTCTTTTCTTTTCTAGCAGATAATTATCAGGAAGAAGAAGAATGAGGGAATTGAAAGAATTACGCTCACAGAGAGCGGAATAACGAAAAAGTAAAGAAACGCAAAACTAGCAGAAACTAGCAAGTAATCAGCTGATCGGTGTATTTGACTATTGAAATCAAGGCGTATTTAACAAGGTGGTGTTGGCCGTATATAAGTAAAAAATTACACTAACAAATTATACGCTGATGTCCATACTGTCATTGGTATGAGTTACAACAAACACATCATTTTGACGTAATGGCCTCCACGGCGAAAAACTCAGCTGTCGCCCCAACACCACCTTGTTTAATACACCTTGATTGAAAGTATTTGGCGCGAATTTTTGATTATCCATTTTGACAGCTGCTAGTTTCTGCTAGTAAAAATTTTACTAGCAGAAATTAGCAGGAGAGCCAAAAAAAGAAGAGCGTAAGATCGAGAGAGAGCTGCTAGTTTCTGCTAGTTTTTTGGGTTAAGAAACGCTTTCCAGCAGAAATTAGTGATAATTTGTGATAATTATCGGTTGAGAAACAAAGCTACTAGTTTATGACAATGGAACGATTTACAGATAAATTCGGTTACAAGTAACCGGTCATTTAAGCAAAAGAGGTCTAAAGTAGCTTCCCTGCAAAAATCGCGCCTACTCCATGCATGCGTGTAAAGAGTACTCCCTAAGGACCAAAGAGTACTCCAAAATTAACCACAATTCATATAAAAAATATGGTCCAATTAACATTGCGATGTCCTAGGGCAGGACCATATACTCCATCCCTGCATTACATCAGAGTAGCACAAAACTACTCCAACATATTAACCATGGCATTGTTGTTATATTTTTTCGTTTGTACACGCTTTTGTTCTTCACTTCTCAAATGCTTTTTCGAAATTAATAAAAACCAAGACAAAAATTAAAAATTACATGTTGCCTCTGACGGTATTCGAACCCGAACATGCTGGGAGCTAAGAACTAACAGCGAGCATCTCTACACGTTCAGCTACAGCCAGACATGCAAATGTGCTTTCAAATGCTCAACTTCAATCACGTTTCGTTAAAGCACGAGCAGTGATCGGATAACAAACAATAAGCTGGCGCAGAGACACGAGTTGGTCCGCTACAGCATGACAGAGGAACACTTTTGTAAGTACTCCAATTTACCACAAATAGACTACATGGTCCAACGATTTTTGCAGGGTTATGCCACTTACAAAATAAACGGCTCATATCGTGAAAAATATACCTTTTTTTGCATTATAAAAATGTTATTAGAGTGTATGTTAACGGAGGCATGCCTAAAACAAATAATGTAACTCATTCTAAAATTAACCACTTCGCTTTTTACAAAAAGCTCCTCTCAAAAAAAGACAGATTGAGCAAACAAATGAAAACCAAGCTACACTAACGTGGAACTCTCGCAAGTAATGAAATTAAAAAGAAGTGTTCAAATTTATGTAATGCATAGGAATCTAAATTTATTATAAAGATTTAATACGTATTTACCAACATACATATGAGCTTCATTTAAAAATTTGTATGCAGTACATTTCGTTTAATGTTTTAAACTAGTTTTTTTTGTACCTAATGTTATGATTTGATAAAAATAGCAAATGTGCATACATACATGTGTACATATGTATGAATATGTGTACATACACATATATACTACGTAACTAATATTATGAATTTCATTAACGACTATAAATATGATGTTCTATTGAATTATGCTAGTTCATAGGCTCTACTAGCCCTACTCACTGCAAAATAAAACTGATTACATGTAACTATGTACATACATACATCTATATTTTTTTCTTCTAAATTATTTCTCCTTTTAGTTGTGGATGGACAATACTTTTGATCTAGTTTTTGCATATGCTTACATACACATGTATGTACTTACAATTTGTCGAAATACGTATATGTATGTATGTAAAATTTTTTACCGTAAAAGTGATTTGAAATTCATGATAGTGGCCATTGTACATATCGTTGCTAAACTTTAGAGGGGCCTTCACTGACATTTGTAAATTTTTTGCAGAAGCAAAAAACCAAACCTGCAACTCATACAATTCTGTGCGTAGAGCTTTTTGAAAAGTGTCATAAAACCGCTGGGGTTTAAGTTACGGTTATACAATGTTTAAGGAAGATGAGTTTTAGGATAAGCTACTTCAAAATTCAAAAACCTGTATTTTGAACAAAATGGCCGTTAGGGTCTTTCTATATTTCATCAACGATATCTGTATACATACATAAGTACATATGTATGTACAGGATTTAATAATAAATAATGATTGAATCATCATATGTATGTATGCTACATAGTTGTTTTCATTTTTTAACTTAACATTTCTCACGTATAAATTTAAGACATACCATTTTTAATTATTAAAAATTAGGATTAAAATCTTCGTACATGCACACAGCCACACGTGTACTATGTAAATGTCGTGCAATTATATTGATTTATTTATCCCTTCGCAATTCTCTCTCTCTCTTCTGAGCAATAATTTTGAAACATTTGTACACTATTTTATCTTTGATTTTAAATTTGGCAATTACAAAACCTACTAGTAAGTGATATTTTTACAAAGTTTTGTCGAACTAGTACGTAAGACAACATAATATAAACAAAAAAACAATCACAACAGCATCCAAAAACAAAAGGAACAAGTTAAAAAATATGAAAAGTCGGGAAAAAGTAGAAATGTAAGCCACTCACTTGCATAAAATCTCGTCCAACTTCCCCTTTATACATGCATGCTTACGTACTGCATATAGTTTAAAGAAACTTTAAATACAATACCAACATTTTAAAACTTAATAAACAATTGTTATTTATAATTAAAGATAAAAGCCCAGAAAAGCCAAACTTTGTTTTTTTGTTGTTGAATATTTTGGTCGAATATTTGATAATATATTTTGAGAAGTCTTAGGAATTTTATCGGAGATGGCTGTTTGGATCGAAAATCATGATTATGAGGAGTGCATTTCGCTCATAATTCGGGAGAATAATAAAGTTATGTATGTTAATTAGTCTTGTGACCCGTCATGTGTACAACTGAGCATAATATAGTACCAATGTCCAATTTTTCAAGAAAGCGTATTTCAAGAAGCCTATTGAAATTGACACACATCAAGGGGGTTACTCAATAATGCGATAAAAAAGGCAATCACCATGTATTTGAATGATGTATTTGCGAGTATACGAATCATTCTCGTTTTCGCATCGCATTATAGAGTAACCCCCAATATCGTTTATCATTAGGGTGAACATGTCCATTTATGGAACAACTTTTCATTTTCTGTGCAATAAAAGTTCGTGTCTTAAACCCTTCGTTAATTTAATTTGTATAAATATCTTCGAGCAGAGTTCAGAGAAAATTTGTTTCCGTTTCGTTCTCTGTCAGAACGTTCCAGAGACTTTAATTCCGAAACTGTCAGAGAGAAAGTCCATTGGACTTTTGTTTCCGTTTTGTTCTCTGCCAGAACGTTCCGCAGACTTTTGTAAAATTTTTTTTAAATACGTTCTTGAAACTTTTTCTTCTTATATAACTCCCGTTAAAAACGTTCTCGAAAGTTTTATTCTCACTTTCGTTCTTGTCAAAATACTCCCGAAAGAGTTGTTTTCATTTCGACTTGGGTTCATGGGAACATGGTTGAAAGTGCTGATCGAACGAATTTTCATTTGGTATTATGGCGCTCGTTCGATGAAGAATAGCGCTATTGTGAACTTCGCTCGTTTATGTTGTTCACAATAGGTTCATTCCTTATCTTTTTGGACTAAAATCTGAAAAGTGTCAAAATGCCAGAGCGTAAGCAAAATGCGCTCACTAAAAGAGAATAACAGGAAAAGTAAAGGAACGCAAAAAACAAATTTTTAGTCCAAAGAATGGCAACAACAAAACTAACGTTAAACAAGAATGGAAATGTATGTACAAAACACATTCACACACGCACAAGCACAATAAACACTTACTATATCAATTATTTTTTGCCTCCTTCCAATTTCAATTCCCTTTTTTACTTTTTAGATTAGGAGCGTTCCTTATCTCCCAGAAATAGTCAGAAAAAGTCCGAAGTAGTCAGATTTAGTCCAAAAAGCGTTCCTTAACTCGGAAATGACAGCAA